CTCATCCGAGGGTGTGGGCGGACGGACTTCCAGCAAGGTCACAGGCCCCCTTCCCCAGCCTGAGATCAAAGGATGGTTATGCCTGGGCCAGGGTTTTCAATACCTGTTGTAAGAATGAAAGAATGGGTGTTAGATTTTAAGGGGGTCATTATTAGATTCAAGAAGTTTAGATGCTGGGAGTCGGGGAGAGTTAGTCACGGCTATTGGAGGACAGATTCAGCAGTTTACCGTATGGAGGGACAGCTAGATTCAAGAGTGGGTTATTAGCTTTCACTGTGAAACAAATTACCCCAGAGCATAATGAGTTAAAACAATGCTTAACATTATCTCACATTGTTTCTGAGAGTCAGGACTCTGGGAGCAGCTTAGCTGGGTGGTTCTGGCTCTGCCATCTCTCATAGAGGGCACCCTCAAGCTGGGGCCGGGGCTGCAGTCATCTGAAGGCATGACTGGGGCGGCGAGGGGGGGTGTGTATCCGCTCCCAAGGCACCTCACTCGCATGGCTGGCAAGCTGTCTCCGACTGTTGGCAGGAGGCCTCAGTTCCCCACCACGTGACCTCTCCATGGGGGTACTTTGTCTTCAGGACAGGGCAGTGGGGTTCCCCCAGAGGGAATGGTCAGAGAGACGCAACAGGCAAGTGGTCCAAATCCCTAACTTTTTTTGATGACCTACTCTTAGAAGGTAACCTCTGTCATTTCTACAATATCCTATTTATCACTGCAAGTCACTTAGTGCAGACCACCAAGTCAAGGTGAGGGGAAGGGTCACATTTTGAACAGAAAAGTGGCAGTGGATTTGTGGACATCAATTTATTATTTATTTATTTATGGTGTGTGATGCTTCACGAATTTGTATTTAGCCCTAGCATAGGGGGCATGCTAATTTTTTTCTGTCCTAGATTTTATTTTATTTTTTAAGTAATCTCTCCATCCAACATGGGACTTGAACCCACAACCCTGAGATCTAGAGTCACATGCTCTGCCAACTGAGCCAGCTGGGTGCCCCTATGGATGTATTTTTAAACCCCATAAAGAGTTAGGGTGCTGAAGATGTAGCAGGGGGGAGGGATGTGAGTTTGATTCAGGAGTTCAGCTGCTTGAGGGGCAGTCAGATTCAGGAGTTTCACCGTAGGAAGGGAGTTTAGTTTTAGAATCTCTGGGTGATCCTACCCTTGAGTGTGGGTGTGAGTGTGTGCACGCCAATATGGGGCAGACACTAGATTGGGAGGATTTAGCTGCCTTGATAAAGACAGAGGAAAGACAGAACACCCCAGCCGTGAGCTGGCAGTGTAACCAGATTCCCAGGCTGCTGCTTTTTTTTTTTTTAATTTTTTTTTTATTTTTTATTTTTTTTTTTTTTGCTGCTTTTTTTTTTTAACGCTTTTTTTATTTATTTCTCACAGAATCCGAAACAGGCTACAGGCTCTGAGCTAGCTGTCAGCACAGAGCCCGACGTGGGGCTCAAACCCATGAACCGTGAGATCATGACCTGAGCCGAAGTCGACGCTTAACTGACTGAGCCACCCAGGCGCCCCCCTAGGCTGCTTCTTGATTCCTCTTCCTCTCCTTATCTCTCCATCTTGGTCTCTGTCTGTTTCTCTCAGAGACGCCTCCGTCTCCCATTTATCCACTCCCGACACGGAAGGAAGTTACGAAATTGAAGGATTGGGGCTGACATGAAAGGCAGGATGATGGTCTAGAGAGGTTCGCCCCCTCCCCAAATGAGGACTCAGAGGTTGTTGTTGCAACCATTTCTCTTTGGCCTCATGTCTTCAGGTTTTTACCTTCTAGTCCAACCTCCCTGCCCTGAACCTTTCCTTGGCATCCCCAGGCTGAGGACAACTCCCTGGTGCTTCAGGATCTCATCCCAACCTTATTTACCGCCATGGTGAATTTCTCACCTTTTCTCATTTTTTTTGCCTATGCTGTTCCATCTGCCTAGGATGCCCTTCCTCTCTTTCTGTGCCTAGACAAAGTGGTACTGGCAGGAGATAGGGAGGCGGCTTAGCTACCTGATTTTATCTTCCCACCCTTTTCTTGAAGGAAGGGATTAGCGGTCTCCTGTCCCGCTGATTCACTCACCTCTGAACTTTCCCTCCCCAGGCTGTGCCAAGACCTTGTACCACTCAGTCCACGAAAAGATCTTCACACTTCCAGGAGACTGTCTGGTCTACCCTGCTCATGATTACCATGGTGAGGGCTTCCTGGGGGAGGTATGGGACTTCTATAACTTTCCATGTGAGAGGGTGAACCAAACTGCTGTACTCCTTATGGGACATGGAGATTATAATTCCCAGAAATTTCTCTGGCCAAAAAGATTAAGTGCTTAGGTGTGCTGAGTGTGGATGTAGAAACTACAACTAGAATTCCAGAGGGCAAAAGTTTTCCTGGAACTTCCTTATAGAGTTTAGGGAAGATGGGAAACTACATTTCCCATAGTGCCCTCTGAGGAGAGCTAGCGATCTCAGGAACAGTTTGGGAAGAGCCTGTAAGTCCCAGGCCTGAGATGCACCCTAAGCCTCCTGGGAAATGTAGTCCTAGGAAGCCCTAGGCAGGGTTGACATTCTTCCCCCTCCCTTCACCATTAGGGCTCACAGTGTCCACTGTGGAGGAGGAGCGGACTTTGAACCCTCGGCTCACTCTCAGCTGTGAGGAATTTGTCAAGGTCATGGACAACCTGAACTTGCCCAAGCCTCAGCAGATAGGTGAGCACTTGGAGGCCAGGACTCCTGGGTCTGAGGGAGGATGGGGTTCAGGGGCAGAACTCTAGTTTCCCAAAGAAGAGGGGGTCTTAGGATTTTTGGGTCCCCAGTGGGGCATGGGGAGGTCTGCTGGAGACCTTTGTTTTGACTTTGGTTTCTTCCTTTCAGACATTGCGGTCCCAGCTAATATGCGCTGCGGGATCCAGACACCCCCCTCCTGACCTGGCTTTGTCAGGTGCTCGTATCCGTTAAGAATGCACTAGGTGGGGTACAGAGAGAGGGACCATCACCGAAGCCTCTCTTCTTCCCCTCCCTCACCAGCCCTTAAGCTTCTTAAAAAAAATAAAAATAAATTAAAATTAAAAAAAAATTTTTTTGTCTTGTTCTGTTTTGTTTTTTTGCTCTGAATCTTATTTCTGTCTGTTTTCTGGGGGAACCAGTTGGTTTTCTGGTCTGAGGTGTCTGGTCCAGAGAAGCCAGGGAGTGAGCAAGGTGAAGATCCAGGGTGCCTGGGAAGGAGGAACTTTTCTAACTCCAAGATCAGAAGGAAGCATATCTGGGGCAGGGCTTCTCACCGCCTTGCATTAGAACATGGCCTTGAGTTTGAACCACTTCTACCTGGAAGACCCAGGATAAGGTGCTTCACTTTTCCATGCCTCGGTTTCAATCTGTAAAATGAAAAGAATACTAATAATAGGGTGTTATGATCCAAGGAATCCACATGTGTGAGGTGTTGGCACCCTGCCTGCATGGCAGGGTTCTTATCAGTGGTGACAATTATTACTATCATTTGGAATGATCTTCCAGGCACTTCCTGGCGGCAGGAATGACAGAGTGACAGTAGGCCTAATGGTTAAGAACACGGACTTGCAGAGAACAAATCCAGCTTTAAGATCAACACCATGTATAGACTTCGGGCACATTTGTCCCCCTCAGCCTCAGTTTCCCCAGCTATAAAATGGAGATAGTAGTCCCTTTCTCATTAGGCTACTGTAAGGATGACAGTAAAGTGTTAGTGTTTAGCACAGCTCCCGACATCCAATAATCCTTTCTCACATGCCAGCTATTTTCCTGTTTTTGCCCAGAGAGGAAAGGGTCTGGCTGAGACCTTTAACCTCTGCCCTCCACTCCATAGCAGGGGCGGGATGGGGGGGGCATACTTCCCCTGTCTCTGGGCGGGTGTCTGACTCAGCTCAGGGCACCCCCTCCCCTTGCCCAGCTCCCCAAACCGGTTGGAGCCCTTCTAAAGGGCTCATTAGAGGGGAGAGGCCCCTATCTCCTTTCCCCCGCTTTCTTTCAGGATTCCCGGGGTCTGGGCCTTAAGGAGGCGTTTATATATAGGTGATCAAGACGTCTAGCCCTCTAGGGGACAGGAAACGGGGGGGCGCTGGAGGCAGAGTGGGGGGTCGCGATGCTGGGTTTTCCAAGGGTGGGGCCGGTGGGGCCGGGATGGCCGGATGCCGCGGCCGCGGGCGGGGCAAGCTGGTCTCTCCCTCCTCCCACGGGAGCTGTTGGACCTGTTGTCCCCCCCTCCACTTCCGGGCTGCTGGGGAGGGGGACAGAACAGCCTCTCTCCTCCCCCTTTCCCAGCCACCTGTCCTGTAGACAGAAAAGGCAGCGCCGGGAGCGCAGAAAGAAGCGCGCCGCAGCCTGAGCTGGTGAGGGGGCTGGGGCTGCGTGGGAAGAGGGGTCTGGAGGCTCGGCTTTTGGGCGCCCGGGGGAGGAGGGAGGTTGGAGTTTGGGATTCTAGCCCCGGGGAGGAGCAGAGGACGCAGACTCTCGGTTTGTCTAGAGAGGGAAACTAGGAGCCCCGACTCCTGGATCCCTAAGTGAGAAGGCATGGGCGCTACTCCCCCCTACGCTAGAGTCGGAGCCAAGTCTACCAGGCTCGGGAGACGAGGGTGCGGGAGCCCGGACGCCGGAGTCCCGGAAGCAGAACGAGATGGGGTCGTTCTTGGGTGGTCTAAGGCTTTGTGGGCGGTTGCTGGGAGGGTCCAAGGCTACACAGTTTGGTAGGAGAGGCCAGTAGGGGGCGTGCTAAGACCCCGACTCAAATTCCGGTCTGGCCTTTGGGGGTGTGGCGGCCTGGGAGCCATCGAACCCCGCCCCCAGAAACTCCAGGCCACGCCCACGAGCTCTCAGTTCCAATCTTTGATCTCTTAGGCCCCGCCTCCTGGAGCTCTTTTCCTCGCGCCGGAGCAGTCGGGAGCTGCTCTGGGCTCGTGGGCCACACCCCCACGCCGCCAGGCCACGCCCCCGGAACTCAGGGGCCGGCCCACTCCGCTGGAGCCCGGAGCGGCCATGGGGACGCCGAGCGGCCCGGAGAAGGGGTGCCAGCCGCCTCCGGTACCGGAGTGCGACGCGGAGGACCGGCCCCATGGGGCTACGCAGCCCCAGGCGCACCCTGAGGACGCCCACAAGCCGGAGGCCCCCGAGGCCCCCGAGGAGCCCCAGAGAGTGAAGGAGCTTCCCAGCGGCCGAGGAGCTGAGCAGCAGGCTGAGGAAGAGGAAGAAGTGGGAGAAGGCAGCAGCACGGAGAGCAGCCGCGACGCGGTGAGGGACCCGGAGGGCGAAGGAGGGGTCACCGGGGGGACCCAGAGAGAGGCGCTAACGGGTGACAGAGACACAGAGGGACAGGTATAGAGAGACCTGGAGACAGGGAGACAAGGACAAGGACCCAAGACAGAGACACAGAAAGACCAGAGACAGAGTTTCAGAGAGATGAGGATAGAGACACAGACAGAAACCCAGAAACAAAGGACAGAGATGCTCAGAGAAACGGAGAGACAGAAATTTTGAGAAAGGAAAATACTCTGAGAGAGACAGACATAGCGATTCAGAGACAGAGACAGATGAGTCGGAGAGACAAAGCCCAGAGAAACAGAAGGAAAGACTCAGACCCGGGGAGACAGAAAGAGCGAGCGAGCGACCGAGCGAGCCGGGCTTACGAGAACGCGACGCCGGGAATGGGACGTGGATAGCGAAAAAGTCACCTTCTTTGAGTCGGCGGCATACCCCCTCCCCTCCCGCGAGCCCCTGGGCCTCCTCCCAGGCGGGGGAACACCGCACCTGCACCCTCCCCCCGCAACTTGAATAGCTGGGCGTGGTGACTGACTGGGGCTGATCAGAACTCCCAGTCCGGGGAATGCGGTGGGGAATGGACCTACCCGATGGCTGCAGGGGTGAGTCCTCCCCTCTTGACCACGCACCCTTTAACCTCAGAGGGAGGCTCCGCCCCCAGCACCGATCCCGGCCACGCCCCCCACATCCGCCCAGCCTGGGGAGAAGGTGCGAGGGGCGGCACGGCGGCTTCGAGAGCAGCAGCTGGAGGCACTGACTCGCGTGGCCCTGATGGAGCAGCGAGTGAAGGAGCTACAGCGCCAGAGGAAGGAGCTGCGGATCGAGGTGAGGTCGTGGACTTCGTGGGAAGTCTGGCCCCAGCTCCAGGGAAGCCCTTAAGGCCAGGCTCCCAGGCCTTTCCTCCTGCGGGATCCGATTCTCAGGCCTCCAGCCCTGGCCTCCCTCCGAATCCAAGAGCTCAGATTCTCAGGCGCCCCACTCGGACCCAGGCCTCTGGACCCCAGTCCTTGCATTCTCTCCGCAGATGGAGGTGGAAGTGGCCCTTCTGCGGGGCGAGCTGGCTGGGGAGCGAGTGGCTGCCCGGCGCGAGGAGGAGCAGCTCCGGGAGCTGCTTGGACAGCAGGTGGAAACCGAGCCGGGCAGCCGGGAGCAGCGGGAACAGGTCTGTTCGTCCTGGTGGAACTTGCCCGCCAGTTTCATTCCTTGTGGGACGGATCCTCCTGGTCGTGCTCCTGGGACCCGAGCCCCAGGGTTGGGTTCCTCCTCCCTCCCTGATTCTAGAACCTGAGTCATTGGGGTAGGGGTGGGGGCGCTTGGGGCTCTTCCTTTGCCCTGCCTCTTTGGTCTTTAAATGTCATATTGTGGGGGCGCCTGGGTGGCTTAGTCGGTTAAGCGTCCGACTTTCGCTTGGGTCGATCTCGCGGTTCGTGGGTTCGAGCCCCGCGTCGGGCGCTGTGCTGACTGCCAGCTCAGAGCCTGGAGCCTGTTTCAGAGTCTGTGACTCCCTCTCTCTCTGACCCTCCCCCTACTCATGCTGTCTCTCTCTCTCTCCTAGAAAAAAAAAAAATGTCATATTGTGAAAAATGTCAAACCAACAAAAGAATAGTCAGATGGTGGCCATGTGGTTGGGCTCACCGGCTTCGACAGGGATTAATCTTCCATTTTTGTTTCCTATCCCCCAATTTGCTTCCCTATCTTCAGTTTTAAAAGCCAATCCCAGGGGCGCCTGGGTGGCTTAGTCGGTTGAGCGTCGGACTTTCGCTTAGGTCATGATCTCGCTGTTCGTGGGTTCGAGCCCGGCGTCGGGCTCTGTGCTGACTGCCAGCTCAGAGCCTGGAGCCTGTTTCAGAGTCTGTGACTCCCTCTCTCTCTGACCCTCCCCTGCTCACGCTGTCTCTCTCTCTCTCTCTCTCCCCTAGAAATAAATAAAAATATTAAAAAAAAAAAAGCCAATCCCAGATATGATATTGTATGTAAATTCTTTAAGGACCTATTCATTTTTTTAAATTAAAATGTTTGAGTGTTTTTATTTATTTTCGAGAGACAGAACAGAGCATGAGCGGGGCGCAAGGGGGCGGGGGGCAGAGGGAGAGGGAGGCACAGAATCCCAAGGAGGCTCCAGGCTCTGAGCCTTCAGCACAGAGCCCGATGTGGGGCTCGAACTCACCAACCGTGGGGACATGATCTGAGCTGAAGTCAGTCACCCAGGTGCCCCTCATTCTTTTTCTTTTTGAATTTATTTATTTATTTTAAAGTTTATTTATTTATTTTGAGAAAGAGAGATAGTGCAGGGGGGGACAGAGAGAAAGAGGGAGATGGAAACCCAAGTGGGCTCCACGCTGTCAGCACAGAGCCTGATGCGAGGCTTGACCCCATGAACTGTGAGATCATGACCCGAGCCAAAATCGAGAGTCAGACGCTCAACCAACAGAGCCATACAGGGCCCCCTAAGTTTATTTATTTGAGAGAGAGAGTGCAGGGGAGGGGCAGAGAGAGACTCCCAAACAGGGTCCACACTGTCAGCACAGAGCCCATCATGGGGCTCGATCCCACAGACCATGAGATCATGACCTGAGCAAAATCAAGAGTCGGAGGCTTAACTGACTGAGCCACCCAGGAGCCCCTAAATGTTCCGTGACTTTGGAGGCTGATCTTAAACTCCTGCCCCACCCAGGAAGTCTTGGATACCCCCGGAGAAATGGCTTCCGACTCTGGGTTCCCAGTCTCTGCCCTCCCCTGCGCTGATTGTCTCCGTCTGTTCTGAGTGTAACGGGCCCAGCCTGCAGGAGAGCGAGCCAGACAGACCGGGTCCCTGCACTCCTGGCGCCGGCACCCAGGCAGCCTTCTGAGTCCTGGCTGGCCCGGCCCTTGCTGGCCTCTGTGTCACTTCTTGTGTCCAGACTGCAGTGAGAGCCCGGCTGTTCTTTCAGGAGCAGAAGCGGCTGAGCCAAGAGCGGGATCGAGTGGAGGGTCTTCGCCAGAGACTCCAGGAGGCCCAGGGACAGCTCAGCTCGCAGCCGGAGGACCAGCGTGAGCGGCTTCTGCAGGGGGTACAGGAGGTGAGGATCCGGGAGACAAGGACCTGGGATCCGGGCCACTCTTTTCTCGGGACCCAGACGTCCAGGCCATCAGTCCCCGCTTCTCTCCCTTAGGAGTTCGGGCCCCAGCCGTACAGCCCCCGGACTCTGGAGTCTAGATCCTCAGGCCTCTCTTACCTCCTTGACCTCAACTCCTGGCCCCAGGCCACTACCCCTAGGGCCTAGGGGTCCAGGCCTCCAGCCTTTTTTGCATTCCCACCCACAGATGAGGGAGCAGCTTGATGTGGCCCAGCGTGCCTACGAGGACCTAGAATTCCAGCAGCTGGAACAGGAGAGCCGGCGAGAGGATGAGGACCGGGACAGCCCCGGAGCCCGGGCACTGGACCCCAAGGTCCAGGCACTTCAGGCCAGCGTGGCGCAGCACAGGGTAAGTAGGGTCAGGCTGGCCCTGCCTCTCTCGCCGCTGCCCTCTGTTCTCCTCCATTCCATGTCTGGCCCTTTCTCTGTCCTCGTTTCCGGCCTGGGTCCCATTCTTGAGAGCAGTAACAAGCGTTGATGTTTATTGAGCATTTACTATGTGCCAGGCGTGGTCCTAAATGCTTCATGAGTCTTTCTTTGCTTGTTGAATCCGTACAAGAATCCTAGGAGGCGGGGCGCCTGGGTGGCTTAGTCGGCTAAGCGTCCGACTTTCGCTTAGGTCATGATCTCGCGGTTCGTGGGTTCGAGCCCCGCGTCGGGCTCTGTGCTGACTGCCACCTCAGAGCCTGGAGCCTGTTTCAGTCTGTGACTCCCTCTCTCTCTGACCCTCCCCTGCTCACGCTGTCTCTCTCTCTCCTAGAAATAAAAAAAAAAAAAAAAAAAAGAATCCTAGGAGGCAAACCTTACCTTCTTTGCACTTTATAAGTGCAGAAACTAAAGGTCAAGGTGCTCGAGGAAACTCTTCCAACGTCACTCAGTTTGTAGAGGATAGAGCTCGGATCTGAACCTGCTGGGTCTTCGCCTCTGCCTCTCAAACCCAAGTCCAAAAAGATGACCCTGCCGGCCCTCTCTGGGAGTTTCATATTCAAGGGTCAGACAAGTCCCGCTGGAAAAAAGTGACATGTTTTGACTATATTTAACACAAAGTTTTCCGAAGCTTTCGATTAGAAGGGTCTGACGTGGGTCTCCTTTGCCCACCTCCATTTCTGGGTCTTCTCCCTGCCACTGTCGCTTCTCCCTTCCGGTCTCACACAGCTCCCGTCTGTCTCTGTTGCGTCTTGTCTCTTTTCTCTGCATCTTTCTCTTGGGGTCTGTCTTGATCCTTTTTTGTATCTCTTCCAGTTTGTTTCTCTGTCCCTTTCTCTGTTCACCGCGACTCTCTCTGGGTCTCTGTCTCCCTTGGTCTGTGTCTGCACATCGGATCCTCCAGCCCCTCCAACCCACCCCAGGTCTCTTCTGGACCCCTCAAAGGGAAGAGGGCACCAGAGCTTAACTCAGCCCCCAGCTCCCACCCCTCCCTGGGCACCCGGGTCCCAGGGTCTCTGTTACGGGGTCCGGTAAACCCCAGGCTCCCGCGGAGGACGTGGCTCTGTGGCAGCGCTGGGAACCCTGGGGGCAGCTGGGTGACCAGGTCACACGGGCGTGCCCTGCAGCGCCGCATCCAGGTCTTAGAGGAGCAGCTCAAGTCGCTGGGGGAGCAGATGGCCGCTGAGAGCAGGGGGCTGAGCCGGAAGAAGGAGGAGGCCCTTGAGGCCCTGACGCAGGTAAGTCCTCCTGGGAGACCTGTCCCGCTGTCGCCGCTTCCCTCTGGGGCCATCTCATCGCCACGCAGCACCCCAAGAGGTCTGGCGTCAGGGCAGGCCGCTGGGACAGCCCGTTTCCTCTGCGACACGGGAACTGGTGACCTCTTGCTCTCCCTCAGGAACGGAGTCGACTGCTCCAGCTCAATTGCCTTCAGGGAGCCCCCGGAGGGGACTTCTCGGAGTCCAGCCAGGCCCTCACTAAGGTATGTGGGTTTCTTGCCCGTCAGCCCCTTCCCCCCTCAGACCCTGGAGTCCATCCCCCAGCCTCCTCCTCCTCCCTCAGGAGTCCGGGCCCCATGCCCCTTCTCCCTTGGGATCCATATTTCTCAGCCCCCTAAATGCTTTTGCCTTTGGGACCTAGGGGCTCAGGCCCCCGTTCTCCCCTCCTCAGGGACCCAGTCGTCTCTGCCCCTAGCCCTCGTTCTCTAAGACCAGGGTCCAGCTCTCCTGCGACCTTGAGCCTTTGTTTTTCCGTCTGAGAAATGGGCTGACGCTGGAGCCATGGGCCAGACCATCCAGGAGCTGATGGGTCCGTCTGTGATCTTTCCAGCTCCCATTAACCTTCAGCCCCTCTCCCGAAGCTCCTGTTCACCCAGAAGACAGACCGCCAGCTGCTGGTGCTGCAGGACCCCGCCGTCCACACCGCCGCCTCCGCTTCTTCCTGCCTCTTCTCCGTTCACAGCTCTCTGCAGGTACCTCCCCCCACGTCTCGCGTCACTGCATCTCCAGAACTTTCATGGTGGCTCTCCCTGCCCCCGGGGGCGTGGGGGAGAGGGACGCGTGATCCAGGGGTGTTTTAATCTATCTTTTATGAGGCTCAAGCTTCGTGTGTCGATTTTCTTTCTTCTGCCTCACATTCTACTGCCCCCCTAGCAAAATGGAACTAACGGGGTGCACCCAGAAGAGCATTTTATTTATTATTTTTAAAAATGAGTTAATTAATTTTTTTAATGGAACTGTTTTTTTTCTTAACATAAATCCAAATTAGTTAACATATAGTATAATAATAATCTCAGGGATGGAATTTAGTGACTCATCACTTACATATAACACCCAGTGCTCGTCCCAACTAGTGCCCTCCTTAGTACCTCACCCAGTTAGCCCATCCCCCCACCCAGCACCCCGCCAGCAGCCCTCAGTTTGTTGCCTGTATTTAAGAGTCTCCTATGGTTTATCTCCCTCTCTGTTTTTATATTATTTTTCCTTCCCTTCCCTTAGGTTCATCTGTTTTGTATCTTAAAGTCCCCATATGAGTAAAGTCATATATTTGTCTTTCCCTGACTGATTTTGCTCTTAGCATAATACCTTCTAGTTCCACCCACGTAGTTAGACAAATGGCAAGATTTCATTCTTTGTGATGGCCGAGTAATACTCCAGTGTATATATACACCACATCTTCTTGATCCATTCGTGCGTCGACGGACATTTGGGCTCTTGCCATCCTTTGGCTATTGCCGATAGCGCTGCTGTAAACCCTGGGGTGCATGTGCGCCTTGGAATCAGCACTCCTGTGTCCTTTGGATACATACCTAGTAGCGCAATTGCTGGGCCGTAGGGTAGTTCTGTTTTTCAGTTTTTGAGGACCCTCCCCCCAGCTTTCCAGAGTGGCTGCACCAGTTTCCCTTCCTACCAGCAGTGCAAGAGCGTTCCTGTCTCACCCAGGAGTACTTTTTTTTTTTTTTAATGTTTTATTTATTTCTTGGAGAGAGAGAGAGACAGCGTGAGCAGGGGAGGGTCAGAGAGAGAGGGAGTCACAGACTGAAACAGGCTCCAGGCTCCGAGCTGGCAGTCAGCACAGAGCCCGACGCGGGGCTCGAACCCACGAACTGCGAGATCATGACCTAAGCGAAAGTCGGACGCTTAACCGACTAAGCCACCCAGGCGCCCCCCAGGAGTACCTTTAAAATGTACTCCTGCCAGTCAGGGCAGATTGATAAGAAGGCCTCCTCTCTCTGCCCCACTGGCCCCAGCCCCGCTCCCTGGCACGGCCACTTGTTTCCTGGCTACCCCTCCTTCCAGATCTCCGTAACACTGGGGGTCCCCACTTATTAACGGGTTACAACATTCACTGAAGGGGTTGTTGCTAACTCTTTAAAATGAAACAGTAGAAAGCATCAGAGGTGGGCATGAGGTAGGGATGAGTATTAGGTGAAAGTTTTGTTTCAGGTGTGCGGCTGTGTGGTAAGCATTTAGACATCGGTAGCTCTCATGTCATGTAAGCGTTTTTTCAAAAGTGTATATCAGCTCCTCGCTGGCTTTTATTTTCTAACTTAACACTCTACCATGGAGATTGTTTCCTACTGATACATTTTGAGCTGCCTCATCATTTTTAATGATTCTAATGATAACAGGATAAGCAAGGTGATGATGACAGCTGACATTTTTTTGAGTCCTTAGAGATGCCGGGCACTGTTTTATTTTATTTTTATGTATTTTTCCTTTTTTTTTTTAATGTTTTTTTATTATTGAGACAGAAACACAGCATGATTGGGGGAGGGGCAGAGAGAGAGGGAGACACAGAATCCAAAACAGGCTCCAGGCTCTGTCAGCACAGAGCCTGATGCGGGGCTCGAACCCACGAACTGTGAGATCATGACCTGAACCGAAGTCAGAGGCTCAACTGACTGAGCCTCCCAGGCGCCTCAGTATTTGTTTTTTTAATGCTTGTTTATTTTTGAGAATGTGAGAGAGAGTGTGAGCTGGAGAGGGGCAGACAGAGAGAGAGAGACAGAGGATTCAAAGCAGTGAGAGGGGAGACCCCGACGCGGGGCTCGAACTCAGGAACCGTAAGATCATACCCTGAGCTGAAGTCGCCTGACTGACAGTAGACCCCCAGGGCACTGTTTTATTTTATTTATTTATTTATTTTTAAAAAATGTTTTTATTTATTTCTGAGAGAGAGAGACAGCGTGAGCAGAGGAGGGTCAGAGAGAGAGGAAGACACAGAATCTGGAACAGGCTCCAGGCTCTGAGCTGTCAGCACAGAGCCTGACGCGGGACTTGAACCCACGAACCTTGAGATCATGACCTGAGCCGAAGTCAGACGCTTAAATGACTGAGACACCCAGGCGCGCCACTCAGGCGCCACCCCCCCCCCCGGGCACTGTTTTAAATGCTTCACACAGATTCACTCATTTGGTCTTTGCAGTAATATTACCAAGTGGGTTCTTGCCTCCATTTTTTTATAGGCGAAGAAACGGAGGCAGAGAGGTGAAGGTAGTTAACTAACTGAAATGCAGCAGGGCTGGGATTTGAACCTAGGCACCGTTTTCAGTGCACTAACTGCTCCAGGCTCCGGTGGGACACAGAGGTCTATGTGAGGGCATTGAGCCAGTCCTCCCTTTGCTGATGGGGATTGGAAGCTTTTGTAGTTTAAGCAACGCTGTTATGAATACCCGTGTGTGCATGTGTCCTTTTTTGTGCACGCAGTGATACCATTAATTAATATTAGTTATGATTAACATTATTATATTGTCTGATGTAATTATATGCATGTGTAATATGTAATATATGATATTTCTTATTTGTTAATATTAATAACAATCATGATTTTTCAAAAAATTTTAAATATTTGTTTATTTTTGAGAGAGAGAGAGAAAGAGTGAGAGTGGGGGAGGAGCAGAAAGAGAGAGGGAGACAGAATCTGAAGCAGGCTCCAGGCTCTGAGCTGTCAGCAAAGAGCCCTATGTGGGTCTCGAATTCACGAACAGTAAGACCATTACCTGAGCCAAAGTTGGACGTTTAACCGACTGAGCCACCCGGGTGCCCCAACAATCGTGATTTTTGAGAGCTTAAGGTAGGCCAGTGTCTGCTCTAAGCCATTTTATCTTATTCATTCATTCATTCATCCTTTTTTTTTTTTTTTAATTTTTTTTTATTTTTTTATTTTTTTCTTACCCAATGTGGGGCTTGAACTGACGACCCTGAGATCNGAAAGAGAGAGAGACAGTGTGAGCAGGGGAGGGTCAGAGAGAGAGGGAGTCACAGACTGAAACAGGCTCCAGGCTCTGAGCTGGCAGTCAGCCCAGAGCCTGACGCGGGGCTCGAACCCACGAACCGCGAGATCATGACCCAAGCGAAAGTCGGACGCTCAACCGACTAAGCCACCCAGGCGCCCCATCATTCATCCTTTTAAAGTAGCTCCATGCCCAGTATGGGCTTTGAACTCACCACACCGAGAACAAGAGTCACATGCTCTGCCCACCTGAGTCAGCCAGGTGCCCCCTAAGCCATTTTATCATTTTGAAGCTATTATTTGGGCACGAGAAGCAGTCACCTGTTGGCAGTGTGACATGGTTCTGTCTAATATATGGATCATGAAATCTCTCGATCTAGAAACAACATTTCCTCCTTTGCTCCGAGAAGCCCCGGAAGTAGGTCCCATTATTATCTGAGGAAAGTGTTTGCAGATTTTCCGTAGGGGAAATTAACTCTCCAGCCGGCTCCCCTGGCAGCCTGATAAAGGTGAAGTGGCAGCTGCGTTGCCAGGCAACGCGACTGAGGGTAACTGCGACCCTTAGAAATGAATTGCATATCTATAAATACTTGCTGGGCGGCCCCGTCCATTCCTCTGGAGTTGTCACCTGAGCTGTTGGCTCCCGTAGGTCCTGTGCCCGCTGCTGTGGGTCTCATACCCGCCTCGCACCTGGATGTCACCTGGGGGAACGTTGCCTGCGCTCCCCTGCGTGCTCTGCATGAGGTCATCCACATAATCTTTGCACCAACCACGGCAGGGTGGGGGGATGGCACTCACTTTACAGGGAGGAAGTGTAGCCAGGGAAGACAGGAATCGCCAAGGTCACCCCCTGCCCCCCCAACCCCCTCCCCTACCCCGGGAAGTGGCCAAGCTAGATTGGAACGAAGTCTGCCTGTTTCCACGACCTGTGCCTTTCAGGAGGCCAGGGTGTCTCAGGAATCCTTCGGAATCCGGAATCCAAGTGGCTGCCATGGCTAACGCTAGCTCAGGAGGAGTGGCGGGGGAGGGGCTGGGGATCACCTGGGGACCACCGGGCACGGAATGAGCCCCCCGGGAGTTTTTATTTACTCAGCCAGGTAAACATAGACAAGTGGATAAATGAATGAATGCGTGAATCAGCAAAGTATACTCTGCCTTGCTCCTTCCTCTCCGTGCCTCCAGGCCCTGTTACATCCCTCCCCAACCTCCCCCGCTTTTTTCCGGGATCACGTGATAGCTGAGACTCTTGACTCCTTGGGTTGAACTATTCTGCCACTTCCTAGCTGGCTGAACTGAGACATGTCTTTTTGCCTCAGTTTACTTAGCAGCCAAATGGGAATGATAATAGCCCCCATTAATGGCTAAAGTGCTCAGCATGATGCGGGGCACATAGTAGGTGTTCAGTGAATGTGCTGCTGTTACTAGGATTATAATCACAATGATTAGTATTCTTATAATTATTAGCGCCCTTCCTCTACCACTCCCACCCTCATCTCTGGTTTTGTGACCCTAGACCAGCCTCTTCATTGATTCTCTCTCCATCTTACTTTCTATCTCCCAATAATCTGTTTCCCACACAATAGCTAGTGATCTCGGCCCCTCCTACTTCAGCCCTCCCCACCTAAAGCTGTCAGCGGCCCCCTGAGCCTCCTCACCTCAGCCTATGAGCCCTTCCATGATGTGGCCCCTGCCCACCTCTCACCACTGTCCCCCATACACGCTCTGCCGAAGAGGTGCGCTGACCTGCCAACATTCCATACTTACTCCTGCCTCAGGGCCTTTGCATTTGCTGATCCTTCTACCCAAAACACTGTTCCCTTCAGCCTTCCCTGGCCAACTGTCATTCCTTGGGCCTTAGGGTCAGCATCCAGACCTGCCTTCCAGGTGGAAGGTGATCCTCCTTTCTGACACTTTATTTTCTTTGCTCACTGCACTTTCTGATGATCCACTTGTCTGATGGTTTATTTAGTTCCTACAGCATAAGTGACATGCAGACAAGGCTTGGGTCCACCTTGCCCACTCGTTTCTTCAGTGCCAGGTATCTAAGGTCTCAGGGTATGCTGGGAACATGTGTTGAAGCAAGGAAAGGGTGAAGAGACACAGGGGCTCAGTTTCCTCCCTGTGAAGGGGAACGAAACTTTCCCTGCTCCCTGGGCTTTTAATATTTTTTTATTGTTTATTTATTTATTTTTGAGATAGAGACAGTGTGAGTGGGGAGGGGCAGAGAGAAGGGGAAAGAATCCCAAGCAGGCTGCGTGCTCTCAGCACAGAGCCCCATGAGGGGATCGAACTCATGAAACCGTGAGACCATGACCTGAGCCAGTCAGACGCTTAACCTACTGAGCCACCCAGGGGCCCCTCTGTGGTCTCTTAAAAGTTTAGGTAGCTGTTCAGAGTGCCAAGTACACTATTAGGCACATAATGAGCACTTGATAAATACTGGCAGTTATTATTTTTTCAAACTTCAAAAAAAATTTTTTAAATGCTTATTTATTATTGAAAGGGAGAGTGAGCAGGGGAGGGGGGGAGGGGCAGAGAGAGAAGGGGACAGAGGATCCGAAGTGGGCCCCACCCAACGTGGGGCTCACAAACCTCAAGATCACAGGCTGAGCCACGCAGGCACCCTGGAACTTTTTTTTTTTTTTTTTTTTTAAAGATACCATGAGTGTGGGACCTGGGTGGCTCAGTCGGTTAAGCGTCCGACTTCAGCTCAGGTCATCATCACCCGGTTCTTGGGTTGAAGCCCTGCATCGGGCTCTGTGCTGACAGCTCGGAGCCTGGAGCCTGCTTCGGATTCTGTGTCTCCCTCTCTCTGTCCCTCCCCCGCTCATGCTCTGTCTCTGTCTCTCAAAAATAAAGTAAATATTTAAAAAAACGAAAGATAACATGAGTATAGAAAATCACATGAAGCACTTGCACAGCTTAATGATTACATGAGAACATTCTGGAACTGCCAGCTGTGTCAGGAGGTAGAACTAACAACCGCTCCTCCGGAAACCCGCCTCATGCCCCTGAATGATGACCTCCTCCGCCTCCTGGGGAATGCCCACCAGCCTGACCTTTACAGTATCTGTAGTATCTCTCTTTTTTTTAAAGTTCCATCAGTTAAGTGTTTGTCCCTAATCACTATAGTTCAGTCTTCCTTCTTTCTTCTTCATTTTTTTTTTTTTTAGTGGCTATATGTTTTAAAGTCTTTATAGATTTCCTCTCTGTTTCCTTTCTTTGTCCCCTTTGCAATTTATTTGGGGGAAGAAATCAGATGGTTGTTTTGTAGAGTTTACCAGGGAAGGGTTGGTGATTGCCTCGTGGGGGTTAATGTCATCTCTCTGGCTCTTTGTATTTCCTTTGAAGTTGACTGTGGGGCCCCAAGCAGATGCAGGGTCAGCATTTTGCAAGTGTTGCTGGGCGTGGTGTACCTGTCTCTCTTTCTCTGGCATTGGTGCCTTGATCTACTAGACCCTTTATGAAAGGTCTAAAGTGGTAAATTTCTAGTCTGTTACTCTTCTTCATCAGTTCATTGCAATACTTCTGTAGAGAGAGAATTGCCTTTCTTTACTAGTATTAACTCTTGTATAGTATTAAATATCTTGATGTGTTGTGACCTATAGTAGTAAATATCATTGCTGGTGCTCAAATTATGCAGTGTATTATTTTTATCATTACATTAAAAAAATTTTTTATTTGGGGGGCACCTGGGTGACTCAGTGGGTCAAGCGTCTGACTCTTGATTTTGGCTCAAGTCATGATCTCACTGACAGTGCAGAGCCTGCTTGGGATAGTCTCTCTCTCTCTGCCTCTCCCCTGCTCGGGCTGTCTTCATCTCTCAAAAATAAAGAAGTAAACATTAAAAAACCCACACATCATTGTTTAACAAAAGGCTTTATTTTGGGGGCACCTGCGTGGCTTAGGGTCCTCCTATTTAGTCTTGGCTCAGGTCATGTACTTGCAGTTTGTGGGAGCTGCTTGGGACTCTCTCTCCCTCTCTCTCTCTCTCTGCCCCTACGTCACTTGTGCACATGTGCATGCACTCCCTCTCTCAAAATAAATAAACTTAAAAAGATCTTATTTTTAAGTAATCTCTATACCCAACATGGGGCTGGAACTCACAACCTCGAGATCAAGAGTCACGTGCTCCACTGGCTGAGCCTGCCGGGCACTCCTATTTTTTTTTTTTTTAATATTTGTTTATTTTTGAGAGAAAGAGAGAAACACACAGAGTGCGAGCAGGGTAGGGACAGAGTGACAGGGAGACACAGAATCCGAAGCAGGCTCCAGGCTCCGAGATGTCAGCAACAGAACCTGACGTGGGCTTGAACCCACGAAACATGAGATCATGACCTGATCTGAAGTGTGACACTTAACTGACTGAGCCACCCAGCACCCCATGTTGGAGCTATTTTCTTTGAAATGTGGTCAGTGGCATTCACTTCACAGTTGTTTTCTTTTGTTTTAAATGTTTATTTGTGAGAGAGAGAGTGCAAATGAGGGAGGGGCAGAGAGAGAGGGAGACACAGAATCTGAAGCAGGCTCCAGGCTCCGAGCTGTCAGCACAGAGCCCGACCCGGGGCTCAAACCCACGAACCGCGAGATCATGACCTGAGCTGAAGTGGGGAAGCTTAACTGAGCCACCCAGGTGCCCCTATTTTATTATTCCTTATTATCTATGTAGAGTTGCTGTTTTTTTCTTTATTTTTTAAGTTTATTTATTTATTTTGAGAGAGCAGCAGCAGCAGCATGAGCAGGGGAGAGGCAGAGAGAGAATAAGAGAGAGAATTCCAAGCAGGCTCACACCATAAGCACAGCAGAGTCCGACATGGGGCTCCATCTGGCTCCATCTCAGGAACCGCAAAACCACAGCCTGAGGCGAAAAAGAGTCAGATATTTAACAGACTGAACCACCCAAGGCGCCCCTGTTTTTTTCTTTTTAAAATGATTTCAGCGTGCTTGCTTGCTTTCTTCCTGTCAAATAAGTTTATTTTCATTTTTTTAGTAACTTTTTAGTCTGAAGTAATTTAAGACTTGCAGAAAAACTACAGAAACAATGGGAAGAATACCTGTATCTCTGGCATTCGGGTTCTGTAATTAACACTTGACGTTCTCTGTACACACACACACACACACACACACACACTTAATTTTCCTTCTGCAGCATGATTCGCCTTTACCCCTAAACCCTTCCTACATTTATTACCTAAGGTCAAGGCCACTGTCTTGCATAACCACAGTGCAGTGATCAAATTCAGGAAACTAACTGAGATAATACTATTAAAATACCCAGATATTATTCGTATTTTGTCAGCTGTTCCTGCTGTTTTTTTTTCCCCCCAGCAAAAACCAAACAAAATAAAACCAAAGTTTTTTCTGGTCCAGGAGCACAGGGTACATTGGGTTATTATGGGTTTTTGGTTTTTTGTTTTTTTTGAAAGCCAACATTCCCCTCGCTCAAAGTTTGAAGGGTATGGCAGGATATTCAGCGAGATCACTCTCCCACCCTGTTTCCATCCATCAGTCCACCTCCTGGGCACAGCCTGGGTTACCAGTTTATTTATTTATTTGAGAGAACGAGAGAGAGAGAGAGAGAGAGAGAGAGGGTGAGTGAGCAGGAGAGGGGCAGAGAGAGAAAGAGAATCCCTAGCAGGCTCCATGCTGTCTGTGGAGAGCCCGACACCGGGCTCGAACCCACGAACGGCGAGATTGTGACCTGAGCCAAAGTCAAGAGTCAGTCACTTAACTAACTGAGCCACCCGGGCGCCCCATTTAAAGTGAACAACTCAGCGGTTTTTAGCATATTCACAGAGCGGTGCCACCATATGCGCAGCCCATTTTACAGCACATTCATCACCCCCAGAAGGAACCGGGCATCTAGAACTGTCACCCCTCAATCCCCCCCCCATCCCCTGGCACCCACTCATCTACTTCCTGTCTCTAAATCTGCCATTCCGCACCTTGCACTGTGTGGTCCTTGGGGACTTGCTGCTTTTCCTCAGCATCATGTGTGCAGTAGCTTTCCGATCTGAGCCAAGTAGCTGCTGGTTTTCCTTGGCGGCCCTCCCTCCGGCTTAACAGTTGGGACTGAGTGCCTCTTCCTGAGTGCATGGGCCTCGTGTGTGTGTTTGCAGGGCTCCATCGGCCTCCAGAGGACTGGAAGCCTGTCCCGGAAGAGGGGAGAGAGAGCGAGCCAGAGGGGATCCCCCCGACCTCTGTCCCTCCACTGTACTGGTGAGGCTCTCCCCACCCCCGCACCCCCTGTTCCCACGTACCTCCTTACCCACCACCGCCCTTCCCTTCCCGGGGCAAGGATGGAGGAATCTGGACGCCTGTGGGTGGAGGGGCTTAGATGAAGGAGAATCCCGGTCCCCTAGCCCCGGCCCTTCTTTCCCAGGACCCCTGGAGGCCTCAGCCCTGCCACCAGCATCGGGACACTCTGGAAGACACCCACTCTATCAGCTGCTGAACTGTGGCCCTGGGAACAGGTGAGACGTCAGGCGGAAGGTGGGGAGATGGGAAGAGGCCGGGCCGCTGGAGCCTGCCCTGGTGTCTGTTGCCTCCTCCCAGCTGTGGGGCCCTCCACCCAGACATCGCCCGCATGGAGCGGCTCCTGCAGCAGGCGGTGGCGGAGAGGGAGCGACTGCTCAAGGCCAGGGTGAGACCCCAGCCCCTTCTGCTCAGGGTCAGGAGATCCTACTCCAGCTCTCTCCTCCCTCAGACCCAGGGGTCCAGACCCCCTATTCCCTCCCTGCGCCCCCCTCCTCAGACCCAGGGGTCCAAGCTCCCAGCCCCTCCTCCCTCAGGCCCAGGGATCCAGGCCCCCAGCCCCCTCCTCCCTCAGGCCCAGGGGTCCAGGCCCCCAGCCCCTCCTCCCTCAGGCCCAGGGGTCCAGGCCCCCAGCCCCTCCTCCCTCACGCCCAGGGGTCCAGGCCCCCACCCCCCCTTCCCTCACGCCCAGGGGTCCAGTAAGTTTTTCCCCCACTTCTTCCTGGTTAGCATCCTCATTGACTCCTTCATCCTGAACCCACAGGAAGGGATGAGAAAGAGCACAGAATGTTCCTCGGGCCCTGCCGTACCTGCCATCATGGTCAGTCCGCCCCTGCCCTCAGCCTCCCCTCCCTGCCCTGTTTCTGTCCTGGCCTCTGCCCTTTCTTATCTGCCCCCTCCTCTCCTCCAAAGGCATAGAAAAGTGACCGGGCCTTGGCAGGGGGAGGGGAACTGAAAAGGCCTGGTTTCTGTTCCCACTATATCTGTGACACGTCCTCGGGTAATGTGCTCTACTTCTCTGTGCCTCAGTTTCCTCTTCTATAAGTAGGCGACAGTGTCAGCAGTTACTATAGAATGAGGGCAACTACATGCTGGGACTTTTCAAAACTTTTAAAAATGGGTTTGATTCTTTAAAAAATCTTCATTATACACATATTCAAGCACATGCAGAGGTAGAATAGATTGATAATCCCCTGTGTACCTGACATGCAGCTTCGGTGATTATCAGTCTTTTTTTTTTTTTCCCCAAGATTTTTTTTTTCTTAAGTAATCTCTACCCCCAACTTGGGGCTTGAACTCACAACCCCAAGATTGAGAGTCTCACACTCCACCAACTGAGCCAGCCAGGCACCCCAGTGATTATCAGTTTTGAATCTTGTTTGACTTTCCAGCTTTGTTTTACTTAGCTCTCACCTCCTTCTCACCTTGCACTGGAGTATTTTAAAGCATTTTTTAAACATGTTTGTTTATTTTTGAGGGAGAGAGACAGAGCGTGAGCAGGGGAGGAACAGAAAGAGAGGGAGACAGGGAATCCAAAGCAGGCTCCAGGCTCTGAGCTGTCAGCACAGAGCCCGACACAGGGCTCGAACCCACAAACTGTGAGATCATGACCTGAGCCAAAGTCGGATGCTTAACTAGTTAAGCCACCCAGGTGCCCCATGCACTGGAATATTTTAAAGCAAATTCAGATAATTGTACATTTCGTCCATACTTCACTGTGTATCTCCAATAGATAAGTTTTCTTTTTACCATAAGAAAAATCCCATTGTCGTACTTTATGAGATGATTAATAATTCTGTAACAATCTAATGGATTCTAATTCATATTCACATCTTCCTAATTGTCTCCGAAATGTCTTTTTATGGTTGGTTATTCGAATCTGGATCCAAACAAAGTACACACGATGCATTTAAAATGTCTCCTAAATCTCCAATATTAAGAATCCTTTCAGGGCGCCTAGGTGGCTCAGTCAGTTAAGTGTCCAACTTCAGCTCAGGTCATGATCTTGAGGTTCATGGGTTTGGGCCCTGCGTTGGGCTCTGTGCTGATAGCCTGCATTGGATTCCCTGTCTCCCTCTCTCTCTTTCTCTCTCTGCCCCTTCCCCATTCATGCTCTATATTTCTCTCTCTCAAGAATAAATAAAAATAGGGGCGCCTGGGTGGCTCAGTTGGTTAAGTGTCTGACTTCGGCTCAGGTCATGATCTCACGGTTTGTGGGTTTGAGCCCCACGTCACACTCCGTGCTGACAGCTGGCTCAGAGCCTGGAGCCTGTTTCAGATTCTGTGTCTCCCTCTCTCTCTGACCCTCCCCTGCTCATGCTGTCTCTCTGTCTCTCTCTCTGGAATAAATAAAACATTTTTTAAAAAATTTTTTAAAGAATAAATAAAAACATTTAAAAAAAAGAATCCTCCCTCCCTAGTTTTTAAAAAATGCCATTTATTGGTGGAAAAAAACTGATTCATGCATCCTGTGGAGTTTTGCACATTCTGGATTTAGCTGACTGTTCTCATTAAAATTTTTTTTTTTTAAATATTTTTATTTATTTATTTCTAGGAGAGAGAGAGACAGTGTGAGCATGGGAGGGTCAGAGAGAGAGGGAGACACAGACTCGGAAACAGGCTCCAGGCTCTGAGCTGGCAGTCAGCACAAAGCCCGACGCGGGGAACGAACCCACGAACTGCGAGATCATGACCTAAGCGAAAGTCGGACGCTTAACCGACTAAGCCACCCAGGCGCCCCTGTTCTCATTAAAATTTTATTTTTACCTATGCTAATAGCATTAATACAAACGTTTTGGATTGGGGGAAATGAGGGTCGCCCCATTGTACCTCTGGAGGCACAAGCATTTTCTCTTGCTGAGAATTCGAATCTCATTCTATACTTCTCAACGTGCACTGATTAAACCATATCTTGTGAATTTATTTTTCCCGTATATGTTGTTCCCAGCCTGCTTTTTGTTTTCTCAGCCATCTGTCCTTTTCTTATTTTTTTTTTCAACCAGTATTTATTGAGGGCCTACTGTGTGGTAGACCCTGGGTTACAGCAGTGACCCAAATGACAGCCCTTGAGGGAAGCTGGCGTTTCGGGAGGCACATAGGAAAAACCAGCGTCAATAAGTAAAATAAATAGCGTGTCAGGTGCTGATAAGACCCAGGCAGTAAAATATACCAGGAAGGGCAGTGGAGCCTTCGGGCTGTCAGGCGTGAGCTCTGCCGCATTAAAAATGAAGCAGTCCTGCTTTGGAGCATCATCATTTATTCATCAGCCCCCTGCTTTGTGCATCGTCTCCCCCCCCCCCGCCCCCATGTAACCCCAGGCTGCCTTCTTGTGCGCATGTGCAAGTGCTTCTCTGGGATTCGCACCTGGAAGCGCAATTGCGGGAGTGGAGAGCCTGACGGCGAGCTTGTCCTCGAAACAGCCCCGGGAGGAGGTTGCTGTGATAGCCCCGAATTTCAGCACAGGGGGACCCAGGGCCCCGAGAGGGGCAGGGGTTCCGTGGGGGTGACATGGTGCGCAGCGATGGAGTCTCGAGTCCCGCGCCCATCTCTTCTCCTGGATTTGGGGCCCCGCTCTGCCACATCCTGCCGGGGTGACCTTGGTGAGCCACTGCCTCTCTAGAAGCCTCAGTTGCCTCCTCTGGGAAATGGGAACAATAGAGGTTTGTTTCTGTTTTGAGAGGAAACGAGGTGATCACTGTGATCAATTTGCACAGTGATCATGTCGGTGATCCTTAGTGTAACTGGCTGGATCTGGAGACAGGACCCATAGAAGATTCCAGGCTCCCCTGGCTGCCCTTTCAACGGCTCCTTCCCCTCCTCTGCATCCCCGCCCCTCGCCTGGCTCTCCCCAGTTCCTTGCAGTGAATCTCCTCTGTTTCTCAACCCTTCTTGCTCTGGCCTCACTTCTGTTTCCTCGCCTTGTTTTCTCAGCCCTTGATACCCAAGGGGTGGTCCTTGGGTAGCAGCACTGGCCCCCTGGGAGCTGGTTCGACACACAGAACCCCTGACTGTACCCGAGGTGGCATTCCTTTTAAATTTTTAATTTAATTGTATTGTATTTATTTAGAGAGAGAGCATGTGAGTGGGGGAGAGGGGCAGAGGGAGAGAGAGAGAGAATCTCAAGCAGGCTCCACTCTTGAGAAGGGACTCCATTCCACGACTCTGGGATCATCACTCCACCTGGAACCACCTGACTGATTTCAACTAGGATGATCAGCCTACTGAGCCAGGCACCCCCCACCCCCTTCCTGTCCCCTGTGGCTGCATCTTTAACAAAATTCCTAAGGGTGTCTTGCCTGTGCACTCAAGGCACACCACTCAGAGCCTCAGTGTGACTGTGGGGATCATACCATTCTTTGCAGGGAAAAGAATAGGTGTGACCAGTCTTGGGCCTTATAAACAGTAGACACTTCCATGGCCTTCATTTTTCTCCCTTTTATGGCCACGAGAGATGATCACTCTGCTTGGTGAATCCTGGCGCTGTCAGCTCTAGCTGTGTGACTTGGGCCTAGTGACTTAACCTCGCTGAGTCTCGCTTTCCATGTCTGTGAAATGGGGGTAATGAGGTACCTACACCCCAAGAGAGTTCAAGGGGGCAGAGGGATTATACCTATAAAGCACTTAGCACAGGTAATAATTGCTGGTTCATCACAAGAATAACAACCGTAGTAGTAGAAACTGCCCTCAAGGATCGATCACTTATTTGGTCCCTGTGTCACAGGGACTCCCTCACTTCTCTGTCACTTCTCTGACATACCTCTTGTGTTTTGGGGTGAGCTCTGGGGGAGGAAGACCTGGGTTTGTGTTTCAGCTCTGCCACCTAGAAGCTCTGTGAGACCTCAGGTGGATTAGTTTATATTTTTGTGCCTCAATTTGCTCATCTGTAAAATGGAGCCCCTAGTAGCCTGGTCCCAAGGGCAGTCGGAAGTCAAGTTGTTGCTGCTCGAAAGCCCTGGGCAAGGTGTCATAGTCCGTAAGTGTGGCTGCCAGATCGTGATCATTGTCATGATTACCACCATTGATACTGCTGTTGAAAGGCCGGGGGGGGGGGGGAGGCGCCTCGGTGGCTCAGTCGGTTAAGAATCCGACTTCGGCTCAGGTCATTATCTCACGGTTCATGGGTTTGAGCCCCGCGTCCGGCTCTGTGCTGACAGCTCAGAGCCTGGACTGTTTCAGGTTCTGTGTCTCCCTCTCTCTGGCCCTCCCCAGCTCATGCTCTGTCTCTCTCAGTCTCAAAAACAAATAAACTTAAAAAAAAAAAAAAAAAAGGCTGTGGCGGCCACAGGACCGCCCCCCCCTTTGATGTCAGCCGCCCCCTTCTCTTCCCTCCCCAGGCCCCGCCCACACCCCCACCGCCCCCCCCAGGCCCACGGGTCTTGGATCTCCGGCAGCACCTGGAACGCTGGGGCCACAACCCGGACAACTGCCCGCACGTGAGGGTGTCCGGGGGCTGCTGCCGCGGGTCCCTGGTGAAGATGGGCGGCCGCATTAAGACCTGGAAGAAGCGGTGGTTCTGCTTTGACCGCCAGGCCCGCCGTCTGGCCTACTACGCCGGTAAGCCTGGCCGCCTGGGACCTTGGGCCCCCAGGACCCTGGAAGTGGCCACTCCGGAGGCCTTCCCCACCAGACGCCTAATAGACCCGGCCATGAGTCTGGCTCCCCAGCCCCCGGAGCGACCCGGAATCCAAACCCCCAGCCCTCCTCAGTGACACGGGTGACAGTTTCATACAATTACTGGCTCCCCAGGCCCCATTTTCCTAAGACACTCAGGAGGAGTGTGAAGCGACATTGTCCAGGTCCTCCCCCACCCTCAGCACCCAGGGGTCCGGGCCCCTCACCCTCCCTCTCCAGGGGAGTCCATGATTCTGAACCTCTCCTTGAGTCTATTTTCTCCTCCAAGACCAAGGCACTCAGGGACCTAGGATTCCGGCTCCCCAGACTCCATCCCCCAATCCTGTCCAGTCTCCCTTCCAACCTCAACCTTCACTCACCTCCCAACCAGGGTATTTTAGGGACCTTCAGACTCTGTCACCAGTCCCTCCCCCCAGCACCCGTCCCGGGACTTGGGTCTAGCGATCCCCGCCCTGAAGCCCAGATGCGCACCTCTCACTGGCTGCTTCTCCCTCACCTCCCTCCATCAGACAAAGAAGAGACCAAGCTCAAAGGCGTCATCTACTTCCAGGCCATCGAGGAAGTCTATTACGATCACTTACGCTGTGCCTTCAAGGTGAAGCCCTCACACGGTGTCCCCCTGACCTCCTGGTCAGAGCCCCTGCAGTCAAGCCTTAGCTTGTCCCTGGGAAAGGCCACCCAGAGACGGCACCATCAGGGTACTCCATCCAGCACAGAAGCCCCCAGTCATTTCACTGCCGCAACCAAAAATTAAGAACCCAGTCTCTGGCTCTCAGCCCATGTTGCTTTTCTTGGGACAAAAGATCTAGAGCAAAAGCTTGGCAGGCTCTGACGCCAAGCCAGGAATAAATGAATGAAGATGGCAGGGTGAGGACTGAGGCAGCCTGGGAGCATCTAAAGGAGATGATCGTTTCTCAGCCGCTGCCCATAGTTGCCAAATGGGAATGGGCCGCATGGTGTCACTTCATACTCTTTTACCCTAGAAAACGCAGGAATTCGAAATTTGCACAAGTGCAACGTCAGAAATATAAAGGTTGGCAACTGGTATAGCATTTAGAAAGCTCTGGAGAGCAACTGACTATGGCCTTTTATTTTTTGTAAATGTTTATTTATTTTTGAGAGTGAGCGTGGGGGAGGGGCAGAGAGAGAGAGGGAGACACAGAATCTGAAGCAGGCTGTCAGCACAGAGCCAGACATGGGGCTCGAACTCACAAATTGTGAGATCACGACCTGAGCCGAAGTCGAGCGCTTAGCCGACTGAGCCATCCAGGTGCCCAGACTATGGCCTTTTAGAGCTTAGGTTGGAATCTCAGCTGTGGGACATTAGGAAAGTGACTTCCCTTAGCCAGCCTTATTTTTCTCACCTGCAAAATGGGCACAGTTCAACCCGTTTCCTCAGAGTTAAGAAGGTTAACAGGCAATGGGTGTAAGGGATTTACTCAATTCAGGGCTGGCAAGTAGGTACTTAATAAATGGGGTGTAGATACTAGCTTTCCCCAGTTACAAACGAGGGGAACCTAGATTTTGGGAAGGGAAAGTTTGAAAGCTTATATTTCTAATACATAAGGTAGACAGACTGTAAAGGGGACGGACATGAGTCCTCCTTTTAAATTCCTCTTGTCTTCCAAATTCTCAGCCCCCAGATGTTAATTCATTTGATCTTCATAACCCAGTGAGGTAGCTAGCATGATTTACGAAGACAAATGGGGAAATGGATTCAGAGAGCCTAAGTAACGTGTCCAATTCCACACAGCACGTAAGTAGCAAGGCTGGGATTCGAACCCAAATGTCCCCCTTAACCACCTTCACTCTGCTGCTTACTCCAGAGCCCCAACCCTCGCCTGACGTTCTGCGTGAAAACCTACGAACGCCTCTTCTACATGGTAGCACCGAGCCCCGAGGCCATGCGCATTTGGATGGACGTCATCGTTACCGCCGCGGATGAGAATCACGCCCCCTGAAGGCCCCGCCCCCTCGGGGGACGTCCCGGTGGGGCTCCGCCCCTGCCTCGCCCGCCGCCGGCAAGCCTGGGCCCGCCCCCGTGGAACTTCCGGGAATCCTGCAGGTGCCGCAGTTCGGCCGGCCCGAGCCGTGGCGTTGGGGGCTGCAGGTGCCTTCCCGCTACGGGAAGCCAGCCCCTGGGCCCTGCCCCGGGCAGGAGGAAGATGGCAGGGGCGGGAAGGAACTATTTATTGGTGCTCCTGTGATACCGAATTAAACACGGAGGAAAACAGTGATTGCTGCCGTGGTTTCCAGCACAGGCGTCCGGGCCCCTTGGCCCCTAGGCAGGACATCCCAGTTATAGGTATCCCTGAGCGCGAAGCGTCCACAGCCCGTTCTCCTCTCTTTAGGAAAGGAGGCCTTCATCATTAAGGTCAAGGTGGGGAGAAGGAGGTGGGGAGGCATGCGCCCTGAGTCTTTGGCAATTTTGCTGGTTTTAGCTTGTGGGTCCTCCCTGCTTCCACTCTTTTTGACTTGACTGAGCTATTGGCAAGTTCCAGGAACTTCTAGGCCCCTGTCCTCCAGGCCTTGGCACATAATTATTCCCTCCACCCTGCCCTTGACCAGCTATCTTATTCCTCAAGTCTTCTTTGGGATGTCCCCTCCTTCAGGAAGCCCTTCCTGGCTCCCTCAGCTGGGTCAGGCATCCCACTTTGAGCTCCTCTTTCCAGTCCCTGAACACCCTAGGTGGTCACTGGTAATGCATCTCTGTCCCTTATGGACTGGGAGTCCCATGAGGTCAGAGCCAGGAGTGTCCAGGTTACTGTCACGTGTTCAGCACCATAGGACACATTTCATTCCGTGAAAGTGGAGGGAAAATGCTTCCCTTTCACCTCTTGGCCTTTGTATATACTGTTCCTTTTGCTTAGGCACTTTTCCTAAGTCCACCCTGCTACTCGTCATTTAGGTCATAGCTCAGATGGTTCCTTCTCCAAGAGGCCTTCCCTGATTTTTCTGGCTGAGTCAGGTGCTTCCGCTACGCTTCCTGGGTCAGCCCTGATTGCTCTGCCTGTGCCTCTCCTATCACAGCCTTGAAGACTCTGGGTCCTCAATGCTGATGAGTGTGTCTCCGGTGCTGAATGGGAGTCCCAGGAGGCAGGGATTGGGGCTGTTTGGGTCACTACTGTGCCCTTGGCACACAGGAAAAGGCCTTGCTGCAAACGAGGTGTTGAAAGAAGGTCTGCTGGCTGAATAAATTGGAGAAAGAGCTGCTGAGGACCGAGGACAGCAGAGATCAGGCAGACAAAGGGCTCTTCATTCTTCGGTCTTACAATCAAGGTGTCTCCTCCTTCGGGAAGTGCTCCTTGATCCCTAGGCTGGGTCGGGTGCTGATTCTGGGTCGCCACAATCGCCTGGGATCGCTCACTTTGGCGTGACCACTCTAAGCCGTCACTGTGTAGTGACAGGTCTTCACCCACTGGAAAGATCTCTCTGGAACTAGGCACCCGGTCCCTCTGGTTCCCATTTCCTCAGGGCCTGGCTGTCCTGTTGCAGGATTTCTTGAGGATCCAGACGTGGTGCTCCTGAGTCCTGGGGTACAAACACCCCAATCCTCAGGTCCTCAGGGGCCCCCGGTGCCTCTTGGCCTCCACCTCCAGGTGCGAATGTTTGGATATTTGGATCAATTCTTCCCCCAGCTCCTCTGCAAACTGCTCAGGAGAGCAGGAATTGTTCATTTTCTCTGTGTGTGTGTGTGTGTGTGTGTGTGTGTGTGTGTGTGTGTGTGTGTTTATCTGATAGAGAACATAAGGGGGGGAGAGAGACAGAGAAAGAGAATCCTGAGCAGGCTCTCCACTGAGCGCTGAACATAGAGCCCAATGCGGGGCTCGATCTGTCCACCCTGGGATCATGACCTAAGCAGAAATCAAGAGTCGGGAGTCGGACACTCAACCGACTGAGCCACCCAGGCACCTCCATAATTTTCTTTTTGAATTTGTGTAAATGAGGTTTGAAGGGATGTCAAGCACTGAGCTGGGGGCATTGGAACATTGGCTCACGCACCACCTCCCACATCCCAGATTCTGTCTGCCTGCCCCTCCCTGCCCCTGCTCTGTGACCCCTGCCACCCTCCGGCTTCGGCAGGCCCTGGCTATGCCTGGGGACATCTCAGGCTGGGGCACGGCGGCGGGCAGCTGCCCACTAGAAGGGGAGCCCAGCAATCCAATTGCTCTGGTTGTGGGACAGGGTCTGTAGATACCTGTGAAGGTCTGTGCTCTCAAGTGTCCTAGATGTTTGACTTTGGGAACATGACATTGAACGCCAGGAGGTGCGGGGAAAGATGGCAGACGAAAGGAAAAATGCAATTCTGTTTTAGTACCTTTAATGGCACTCTTTCCTGCCTTTTGAAATCGGTCCCCCTGGGGGCGCCTGGGTGGCTTAGTCAGTTAAGCATCCGACTTTCGCTTAGGTCACAATCTCGCGGTTTGTGGGTTCGAGCCCCGTATCGGGCTCTGTGCTCTCAGCTAGCTCAGAGTCTGGAGCCTGTTTCAGATTCTGTGTCTCCCTCTCTCTCTGACTCTCCCCTGCTCACGCTATCTCTCCTAGAAATAAATAAAAACACTGAAAAAAAAATGAAATCGGTCCCCCTGTTTACATTTTGCACCGAGCCCCACAAATAATGTAGCCAACCCTGCCCCTGACTCCACCCCTGCAAGGCCTGTATGTCCCAGAGGGAGTGGGTCTGAGACAGGCTGCGAATACCACCACTGGGCTCGGAGCCTGCCTTGGCCCGGGGGACAGGAAACCATAGTAGATACAGCCCCAGGGTTGTCTGAGGCTCAGGCATGACCTCCGCGGCTGGGGACTGCCTCCACGCTGACCCCTGCGTCCACCTATGTGGGGAACAAGATTCTAAATCACTTTGCAGTGACCTCTGTGAACAGGGGCAGGGAAGAGTAAGTAGAGGCCCCACATTCACACCTCCCTCTGCTCTCTGGTCCTGGGCCAGGTGGGGGTCAGCGCTCAGGATCCAGGCAGGCCTGAGCAAGAGGAGACTCCCCACCCTTGGGTACCACTCCCTCCCAAGATGCTAGTTCTTCTGGTCTGGCCAGCTGGGGTTCCTCCCTGAAACTCTCCCACGCTGCTTGGGCCCGCAGGGCCGCCTGCTCCTGAACGCACAATAGTTACAGTATTATTCCTCTGCCTCGCTCTATCCCTCAGGAGATAGGGGTTTTCAGACCCCTTCCTTTTGGCAAAGGAAGCAGCTGAAGTTCAGAGAGGGAGACCCAGTTGCTCAAGGTTACACAGCAGAGGATGGCACAGGCAAAATTAAAATTTCGGGTTGTCTGATCCCAGAGTTGATACATTGCCTCATTCCACCACGAAAGACACTCCTTCCTTTATTAGAAAACAAAGAACTCAGAGCCTCAGACAGGTGAAGACACCTTCTCAGGGTCACACAGCAAACCATAAGTGGGGGCGGGATTTCAAGGCTGAGAAGAAGGGGCCAATGCTGGATGACGTCAGAAGTAGTCATTCACTTTCTCTCTATGGGCCTCAGCATGATCCCAAGTGACCCCACCTATATGACTGAGGCGCTAGTCATTCTTGGGAATGGGGGTGCTCAACAGGGTCTGGGGAACAGGTCATATCTTCATGAACACAGCCGCTATTTTTCCCGGCAGAGATAAATCATCTATGAGCCGGGAGAAACAAAGGAAGGTTAGAGATGTAACTTATATAATGACATAATACAGTATATAATATAAATAATACATAATCTATATAAATACTATAACAGTTAACAGTATAATATAACATAACATAAGCAGTCACTTCTATTAGCCTGGATATGGGGATGCTTAGTCACTTTGCGGTTTGCACAATGTTCTCATTGATTTCTGAATTCAGACATGGTGACACAGCGGTCTTGATTGTGTCTCGCTCCACCAGGTCACAGTGTGATCCCGTCTGCTTGGTGTTCTGTGTCAGTACATAACACAACACCACGGCCTCACTGTGGGTCCCTGGCCAACTCCCTGCTCTCAGGGGCTGCTTTTCTTCCTTACCTAGAAGATTGCCCAGCATCCTTGCTGGTTTCCCGGATTTCTCTCTCCTTCCAGAATCATGTCCTGATTTACACAGAGGCCACAGTGACATTTTTCTTCCCCCCCCCCCCGGTTCCTGTTTAAAAGCATAATGTAAGGGCTCCTGGGTGGCTCAGTCAGTTAAGCCTCTGACTCCGGCTCAGGTCATGATCTCACAGCTCGTGAGTTCAAGCCCCATGTTGGGCTCTGTGCTGACGGCTCAGAGCCTGGAGCCTGCTTCTCTGCCCTCCTCTGCTCACACTCTGCCTATCTCTCTCTCTCTCAAATAAATAAATAAATGATAAAAAATTTTAAAATAAGTTAAAATAAACAAGCATAATGTACATTTAGTGAAATATGTAAGTATACAGCTGGGTAATTCTTTTTTTAAAGTTTATTTATTTATTTTGAGAGACAGAACACCATCGGGGGAGGGGCAGAGAGAAAGAGAATCCCTATCTGCATCATCAGCATAGAGCCCGCCAAGGGGCTCAAACTCACAAACTGTGAGATCGTGACCTGAGCTGAAAATCAATAGTAGGATGCTTAGCCGACTGAGCCTCCAAGGCACTGCTCCCTACAGCTGGGTACTTCTTTACATATTTGTACACACGTATAACTACTGCCCATATGAAGATAGTGTGGGCTTATCACTATTGCCCCTTTGGGACAATGTAACCCCTGTTCTAGAACCTCATGTAAATAGAGTTCACTGTATGTTTTATTTGGGGAAGGCTTCTCTTTGTTTTTTGAGTTTATTTATTTTTTTTAGTATTCTCTACATCCAACATGGGGCTTGAACTCACAACCCCCAAGATCAAGGGTCACATGCTCCACCCACTGAACCAGCCAGGTGCCCCTGCATAAGGCTTCTTGAGCTCTGCATATAGTTTTCGAGATTCATCCATGCAGCTGCAGACGCCAATAGTTGGCTTGTTTTCACTGCTGTGTAATAGTTCATGGGATTAGTGACCCAGTCATTCTTTTTCTGCTCCCTTCTTAATGGATATTTGCCTTAATTCCCAGATTTTGATCATATTAAAAAGCAAGTCTGATGGTGTCCTTCGCTGCGGCCGATTTAGACGCTTTCCAAGCTTATCCACCTTTCTCAGAAATAATTCAGATCTCTACACCGGGCCTGTAATGTCCTGCTCAGTCTAGCCCCTGCCTGGCTCTTTGGTCCTCAATTTCCACCTTCTTCCTCTTTGTTTCCTGAGCTCCGGGCACACAATGGTCCAGGATCCTCGGACCCCTAGGTCTTGGCCAGTAGTGCTCCCTTCTGCTTTGTAACCTGCTTGCCCTCGGGGGTCTTTGAGGCCACCGTTGAAATGACATCCTCAGGGAAGCTTCATTGACCAGCCAGCCCCCACCTCTAGACTCCATACCTCCTCGGAGCTCCCTACACTTCTTCCTTCATTGTTCTAGTTGTGTATACCAATTTGCGTGATTCCTTAATTAATATGTCTGCCCCCCCCCCCCATCAGACAGTGAGCTCTGTGAGGGCAGGCACCGGTTCTGCCTTAACTTCCAGCAGTCTCGCAGATCAAAGCTGGCACACAGTAGGTACTCATTAAATACGTACAGAGTGCCCCGTGTTGATAGCCCCTTCCCCCATTCTCAGCCTCAGTACTTTCCCTTCTATCCCCCAAACACACAGACTTTCTCCTGGAGGCCATCGGGGAACCTTGACTCCCACCCTTGCCCTCCCTGGCAGCTGCTGGCTGACGCACCCAGGGGCGGGTGCTCCGCCCCACGGCGGACGCGGATTTGGCCCGGTTGGGCAAGGCTGGGGTTGCCTGGGGGGAGGTTACTCATCCCGGGCTCAGGTAAGAGGGCCCAGGTTGGGAGGCGGCACACCTAGGGGGGACGCCGAGGGAGCAGGACGGAGCCATGGACCCTGCCAGGAAAGCAGGAGCCCAGGCGGTGATCTGGACCACGGGCTGGCTGCTGCTATTGTCGCTGCTGCTTGGAGAAGGTGGGTCTGCTGCGGGCAGGGGATGGAGGAGGTAGAGTAGGGGCTCTATCTAGAAAGGAGGTGTCTCCTACAGGGAGATCTGTGGGGACGATCTCCCATTCTGAGCAGAGGGGGGCTGTGGGAAAGATCCCCCAATCTGGGCAGAGGGGATTGTGGGAAGGATCCCCCGCCCTGGTCCGAAGGAGCAGTGGGAAGGGATCCCTGATTGAGCTGACTGGACTGTGGGAAAAATTCTCCCGTCCTGAGTGGAGAACGCGGGGGGGGGGTTCCTTCTCATCCATAGAGGGGATCTCCCCATCTTGGGCAGAAGGGGCAGTGGGAAGGATCCCCCCCACTGTAGGTATAGAAGAGCGGCACCAGATTTGTGGGCCTTTTCCTTACTCCTGTCCTGGAAACCGGTGGGCAATAGCATTGACACGTCCCGAAGACAGAGGGCGTGGGAAGGACTGTTTCTCCTTTCGGGGAGGAGGCTTCAGAGGAATCGCTTAGTTCTGCTCGGCCCTGCGCCCCCAGGAGCGCGGGCCCTGGAGTGCTACAGCTGCGTGCAGAAAGCAGATGACGGATGCTCTCCGCAAAAGACCAAGACGGTGAAGTGCGCGCCCGGCGTGGACGTCTGCACAGAGGCCGTGGGGGCGGTGGAGACCAGTGAGTGAGACCTCCCCCGGGTCCGGCCATTCGTGCCCCTTCGAAGCTCCTCCAGCCAGGCCCCGCCTCCTTTTGTCCCGCCCCGTCTTTTGAATTTGTCCACACTCATTCAACGCCCTCCAGGCCTCCCTTCCGTCCTGGCTGGAGCCCTTTACCACCCTCACCGTTAGGGCTTAGAGGGGCGAGGGACTGAGAGTGGCTGGGGTGAACTGGGAGAGCCGGGATCAGGGACTTGCGCCCCTTCGAGGGCACACCCTATCCATTTCTCCTCCACTCCGGAGACCTCTCTACCCACTCTGTCCCTGCCAGAATCCTCTATTCAGGTGGGCCCGTGGTGATGCAGACATTCCTAGGGGTCTCCTGCTAGGTTCCCTAGACTGAGGCTCCGCCGCGCTGGACCACCCTCGGGGGAAGCCCGCCCCTCTCTGAGGCTACAGCTCCCGGGAGACCCCCACCTCTGAGACTCCGCCCTTTCCGTCAGTCTCCCAGTTCCTTCATAGGATGCTTTCTGCGGTTCCACCCCTCTGCCGCCGAGCCCCGCCCTGGCTCCACTCTTGGCCCATCTCCTCGATTTAGTCCAGAGTCTGTCACCTGTCCCCTCGGACTCAGCTCTTTGAGGTTCTGCCCCTCCGTCTGTCGTCCTTGCCCCTGCGATCGGCTTTCTGAGGCCCCTGCCCTTCGCCTCTGGCCTGGCTACCACGTGCGGGGGTCGGGGGAGTCCACTAGAGGCCCCGCCCCGCCGCCCCCGCTGACCCCGCCCCCTCCCTCTCCACAGTCCACGGGCAGTTCTCGGTGGCAGTGCGGGGCTGCGGGTCCGGACTCCCGGGCAAGAATGACCGCGGACTGGACCTTCACGGGCTTCTGGCCTTTATGCAGCTGCAGCAATGCTCCCAGGACCGCTGCAACGCCAAACTCAACCTCACGTCGCGAGCGCTCAACCCCGCAGGTCGGTGGGGGCGGGGCCCTAGGCCCGGGGCCGGAGCCACGCCGCGGCAGAGCCACTGGGGTGATCCCAAGCTGGAGGCGGGAGAACTCCGCACGGGCCGGGGGCGGGGCCACGCATTGGGAGGCGGGGCTTCGTCGCGTAGGCAACGGGGAGTGGACTCTAGGGGCGGGGCCAGGTGCTAGAGGCTGAGCGGGGCGTACTAGGCTGGAGGGACCTTGGGCGAAGGTGTGCTCCCTGAACCTTTTCGACCCCTTCCTTCCATGCCGCTCTCCTCGCAGGCAATGAGAGTGCCTACCCGCCCAACGGTGCCGAGTGTTACAGCTGCGTGGGGCTGAGCCACAAGGCGTGCCGGGGCACAGCTCCGCCCGTCGTGAGCTGCTACAACGCCAGCGAGCGCGTCTACAAGGGCTGTTTCGACGGTAACGTCACCTTGACGGCAGGTGAGCGAGCCGGGAGCCGGGAGCCGGGAGCACGGGGCCTACAGGAGTTTGTGGTAACCTCTCTGAGGCCTCATGGGCGGTGGATGGCCGTCCAGAGGGACCCACCTCCAACGCGTTCTAGAAGACTGTAGGCCAAAGTTCTTGTCTCCCCCTAGAGCGTCACGAGAAATTTCAGTCCTATCCCCAACGTAGCGTGGGGCTGTGGTTGCCTTTGTCCTAGAGGTTTTTTTCCACATTTCCACAGACGTCTGCCTGGTGCAGAGTGGGACGGTGTGCTTTGGGAAATGTAAGCCTCCAAGCTTCTAGATTGCAGGGAGTCTAGTTATGACTTCTTAAAACTCAAGGGGTTGGGGTCCCCACCCAGCCACCTAGGAAAGAGATAGTTCATCCTCCTGGCATCTCTCAGGGAACTCTGGGAGGTGACCTTCAAACGCCTCCTCTGCCAGGTGTATTATGGGAGATGTAGTTCTGACTCATAAAACTAAATTTCGGCGGGGGCGGGAGAGAGAGTGATGGGAAAAAACGATGAGAGGGATGTTTGTTAGGTGGTTTGGTCTTGGGAGAGGTGTATTCCTGTCCAAAGTCTCCAGACTTTTCTTTCAAGGCGTTGTGGGACTTGTAGATCATCCTGCACACCTTTCCTCTCCGAAGTGGGAAATGTGCCAAAGACAGTGGGATAGTGTTTCTCAAAGTGGCGCCTGAATTGAGACTTTCGGATTCATGGATGTAGAGCCCCCTGCCCCCCGTTTTGGGCGTTCTTGCCCTGGTCTTGCCCTTAAGTTTCCTTCTGGCTCAGCACCCCTGCAACCGCCCACCTCCCTGTGTCTCTCCCCTGCAGCTAATGTGACTGTGTCCTTGCCTGTGCGGGGCTGTGTCCAGGACGAGTTCTGCACCCGGGATGCGGTTACAGGCCCAGGGTTCACACTCAGTGGCTCCTGCTGCCAGGGCCCCCGCTGTAACTCGGACCTCCACAACAAGACCTTTTTCTCCCCTAAAATCCCACCCCTTGTCCTGCTGCCGCCTCCTAAGCCCACCACTCAGGCCCCAGCCACCTCTGTCCCGACCTCTGCTCCTGCCCCAACGACTGTGGTCTCCACCACCAAACCCACCACGACCAGCCAGACTTCTCCACAGGAAGTACATCCTGAGACCTCTCAGAAAGAGGAATCTAGCTCGGCTGGCGGTGCCGCTGGCCACCAGGACCGCAGGAACGTGGGGCAGCTCCCTGCAATAGAGGGGGCCCCTAATAAAGGCTCTGCAACGCCCTCGGCTGGGTTGGCGGCTTTTCTGTTGGCCTTGGCTGCTCGCACCCTATTGTGAATTTTTCCATCTAGAAACTTCCATCTTGCCCTGTTCCCCAGCCCGGGGTACCCTCTCTTCCCATGACTTCCCGTTCTCCTCACTGGACTGGGCTGGCCCAGCCCCTGTTCTTCCGATCTCCCCCCACCGTCCTCAGCTTCTGCTGCACTGGTTTGCGGCTTTGGGAAATAAAGGTACCGTTGTATATATATCCTGCCAGGGTGTGTAGCTTCTTGAAGGCAGCAAATGTATCTCCCTCAGCTTTGTCTCTCCCTGGGCTCCTCAGGGTGTCTCGGGCAGAGAAAAGTCAGGGCAGTCACAGGGAAGATGGGAGAAACACTGATAAGCTTCCTATTCGCCTTCTTATAGGCAGCCCGGAATATGGGGGGGGGGGGATGGGATAATGGTTCCCTCTTCTGCTGGCTGGTGTCCCTGCTCCCCGCCCCCTCTCTGTGGGACTCGGTTCAGCATCTGACTTCCTTATTAGACTGTGAGCTCCTCAAGGGCAGGGACCATGCCTTTGGCCTCTGTGTGGTCAGTTTCTGGCACAGTAAGGTCTCAATAAAAGTTTAATTCCTTTGTATAAGCGTTTCGAAGGACTCCTTTCTTACACTGGTCTCTTAGCGTCATCTCTGAGGGCGGGAGTGCCAAAACCTGTAACAGAGAAGCTGAGATCTGGGGGATGTTGGGATTTGAACTCCTTTGCTCTCCTGGGGTTTAGCTCGTGGGTGATCAATTGCACTGGTGAGGAAGCATTAGGCAGGGGTGAGGGTGACTGGGGCTTTAGCAAGGTTTGGGCGCAGAGGAGAGCTCTGTTTAATGGGTCGTGCCCCACTGCCAGGTCCCACTCACCCTGTCATCCGTTTGGTTTCCCGAGAATTGTCTGGTGGGCTTAGCTACTGCCAGAGGTCACAAGGGTGCTGCCGTCTGTGCTTCATGTTGGGGACATGGGGCCTGAGCTCCCCCTCCATCTCCTCCTATCAGATGAAGGCATAGAAGTCCCAGGGAGGAAAAGCCTGGCTTGGGTCTGAGGCCCTGGCAGGCTTTGGGACTGCTTGATGGAAGGGGGATTAGATGCGGGCAGTAGTGAAATAGTAATATTTCCAATGTCACTATTCAAAAAAATTTTTTTAGTGTTTATTTATTTCCAAGAGAGAGAGACAGAGTGCAGGCAGGGGAGGGGCAGAGAGAGAAGGAGACACAGAATCTGAAACAGACTCCAGGCTCTGAGCTGTCAGCACAGAGCCTGATGCGGGGCCCGAACTGGTAAACTGCGAGATCATGACCTGAGCTGAAGTTGAACGCTCAACCGACTGAACCACCCAGGTGCCTCCCCCGCCCCCCGATGTCACTATTAATGGGGAGTAGTAGTATGACAAAACAACAGTAAATAATTACAGGAACAATATAGAAAATTAATAAGAGCATGAGCAATAGTAATAGTAATTGTAGTTATGGAATGTTAATCATTATTAAAATTTTTTTTAACATTTATTCATTTTTGAGAGACAGAGACAGAGCATGAGCAGGGGAGGGGCAGAGACAGAAGGAGACACAGAATCCCAAGCAGGCTCCAGGCTCTGAGCTGTCAGCACCGAGCCCAATGTGGGGCTCGAAACCACTGACCGTCAGATCATGACCTGAGCCGAAGTCGGATCCTTAACCGACTGAGCCCCTCGGGTGCCCCAGCTTTTTAAAAAGTCTTAACACATGCCAGGCTTGTACTAAGGGTGTTTGCGTCCACAGTCATTTTCCATTTACATTCTCAGAAGGGATGACTGGGGAAACTGAAGCTCACAACCGATAAAATAACTTAACTCACAGAAGACCATCCGTGTATCAGGTACTGTTTTAAGTGCTGTACTTGGATTAACACAGTTTATACAGCCATTCTGTGAGTTAAGTATTATTCATTTGCGTTTTACAAGATGAAGAGCTGAGACCCAGGGAGACTGAGAAACTTGCCCCAGGTCACTCAGTTAATTGTCGCTGGAACCCAGGTTTGAACCCAGGCATGGTTTGGCTTTACAGAGCTTGACTAAGATGGCTGTAACTTTTCCCTCAGCTTGACTACACTTTAGAGAGTCTTCTCTCTGTTTTTAAACTGCTGACCTCCCTCTCACCCCAGCCCTTCCAGAATCCAGATGGCCTAACCACAGGGGCTCCAGACCTCGCTTTTCTTAGAGCATTCACTTTAGAAAACATGTCATTATAAATTCTTCCTCTGTCCCTCTGAGAGATATGTAAATGTCTTTACAAGCCTCTTGCCATTTTTACAACCCAGGAAATGTCTTTCTCAAGGACCTGGGAACCATCTCTCTTAAATAGAAACATCAAAGGAGATCACACCCCCATCTCTCAGTTTCCCTAGGGGGTGAGAGCCTAACTTCCATGGGTACCATTTTCCCAGTGGTAAAACTGTCTTCTGTCACAAAGACACAAGCCTGCGTCCTTTCCTTTGGGGAAAGCCAGTTAGCAAACACAGATGACCTCAGATCTCCCCTTAACTCCAGCTCTTAAGGGGCACCTGGGTGGCTCAGCCGGTTAAGGGTCCGACTTCAGCTCAGGTCATGATCTCTTGGTTTGTGGGTTCGAGCCCCACATTGGGTTCTATGTCTGTCTCTCTCTCTCTGCCCCTCCCCTGCTCATGCTCTGTCTCTCTCTGTCTCAAAAATAAATGAACTATAAAATTAAAAAAAAAAAAAAACCCACCTGCTCTTTGTTTCAGCCAAGTTGAGTTCAGACTGACTGAGCAGTGGCCTCTCTTACCTCCTGCAGTACCACCCCCCACTCCCCAGCCCCGCCCTGCCCTGAATAAAGTCTTCCTTGCCTGTTTAACATTGTCAAGTGCACTTTTGGTGGCTTCTGTTGTCTGCATTTACATCAAAATCATTCGTGGCTTACCAGAGAAAAATAGTTTGCAGTGTATCAATCTCCTTATCATTTGCAAAAATCATTTGCAGAGTTAAATCTGAATTTCACAGAGTCTGGGCCCTAGTCAATAATAAATAGGACATACAGGGGCGCCTATGTGGCTCAGTCAGTTGAGTGTCCGACTTTGGCTCAGGTCATGATCTCACGATTTGTGAGTTCGAGGCCCACGTCAGGCTCTGTGCTGACAGCTCAGAGCCTGGAGCCCGCTTTGGATTCTGTGTCTCCCTTTCTCTCTGCTCCTCCCCTGCTAATGCTCTGTCTCTGTCTCCTACAAAAATAAATAAACATTAAAAAAAAATTTTTTTTAATAAATAGGACATATAAATCTACATTAACCAGATAATCCTTGAGCGGTGCTGTGAGGCAGTGCTCTAGTAAGATGTGAGAAATTCATATGGTTTTGCTTTTGTCTTATTTCTCAATTTTAGATCCAGCATTGTCCCACAGAAATATACTGCAAGACACATTTAAAATGCATGTAATCTGAGGCTCCTGGGTGGCTCATGTCCGTTGGTTAAGCATCTGACTTCGGTTCAGGTCATGATCTCACCATTTGTGAGTTCAAGCCCCGCATCGGGCTCTCTGCTATTAGCTTCAGATCTTTGTCTCACTTTCTCTCTGCCCCTCCCCTGCTTGCTCTCTTTCTCTTTCTCAAAAATAAAATAAACATTAAAAAACACATGTAATTTAAAATTTTTCTAGTATCCACATTAAGGAAGTAAAAAGATGTGGTTAATTTTAGTAATATATTTCAATGTCATATATAC